TTTTTTTTTTTTTTTTAGGCCTTGCTGTATCAGGTTGAGCACAGGCTGGCACTGGGGATAACACTAGAAACTTGCTATCCACTAATGGGTACAGGTGGCATTTGGAAAAATGCATGGCCACCTGAACCAAGTGCATGGGATTATGTTCCTTTGGTACCAAAAGACTTTCAATGTATAAGCATTTTGCCTAAGGTAGTTTCATGGCTTAGACTTCCAAAGTCAGCCAAACAGTGAGATTCCAGCATATAAACAGAGCACAAAAGTAAGCTGTTATAAAGGCCAAACAGTCTTTATTTTGTTTACTATAAAGTGTGCCACAAATACTTTTCTCTTTTTCTAAAATCACTTCCATACTAGGTAGTGTGTATCTTGTTACACAGGGTGCTCGTGTTTGCACAGTCCAAGAGATGTCATTACTGGCAGAGGGCTTTTAGTTTCCATCAGTTTGAACAAGAATTAATAACAAAACAAAACAAATGCAGTCTTACAGTGTCTCAGTTTCCCTAACTGTAGGAACTAACAATTACAATCTATTTCATAGATTCCTTATGAAGAATTGTGTGTCAAAAATGAGACTTAAATATAACATAGTTGGTCTATATGTTTGATGAATTCCTGGACATTTTGACCTGACTAATTTGTTAAATGCACTAAAAATACTTACTAAAGACAGAATATTTTATAAAGTACAAAATAATCATGCAGGATAAGTAATCACTCCCTAATATCCATTTTATAAGCAAACATGTTTATTTTGAGGAAAGAGTTAATGAAATAAGGCAAAACAGTATGAAATCCTGCAGAAATTTCAGTTACCAGGTGATGGTAGGTAATATGTGGAATAATTTTTATAAACTTATTCAGATAGTCACAGATAATGGCAACATAAGCAGAACAGTTTTCAAATCTTTAGGCTGTGTCAGTTTATTTTTCTGGTTTATTAAGAACAAGTAAAATGGAATAAACTCGTGGGTGAGTAACCAGAACTGCTAAGGGACTTCAAAGAAATGGGGGTATTCTGCTAAGGAGGAAAAGACCTAGGATGAAAGGGACATAATTTTATCTTCAAATATTTACTGAGTTGTCATAAGGGCTGTAGCAAGGGCTACTAGCTGTTCAAAACTGCTTCAAAGGATCAATATGACCAATAGGTAGTGGTCAGAGTCAACTGATGTGAGGGCCATAGCAGGAGTTCCAATAGTCAGTGCTGTCCCAACAGGGTATGTGCTGCCAACAGAGGTTCTGAGTGCTTCCTGGCAGTGGAGCTAATAAACTGGAACACCCATAAATCTCATTGACAGGATGAGTGTGAGGGGAATCTGCTGGGAGGGAAGGAGAGGAATGTGGCACAGAATAGTCAATATTTCTGGCCCCCAATAACCATTAAATTGTAAGATTCTATAAATGTCATATAAAACTGTTGACAAAAATTCTCTAAGAGGATAGTTATCAAAGGGCTGTGTTTTTTAAATGATCCTTCCAATCTAATCTTTTTTTTTAATCCTCACTCACCAGAGGACATACTTAGAGNTAGCCATGAGCAAAGGCAATAAGGAAAATCAGTTATTGCCGCTCATCCTAAGTTGTTTACTATTCAGAGTAAATTGTGCCTGAAAAGAGTCACAAACACTTTAAAAGCAACAAGCCACTTGGAAGCTCCCTGAAGAACCTAATGTAGGTTCCCTGAGAAACCCTGATCTAAGCAACAGGTTCAAAGAAAAGATCCAAACCCTCAAGTTTGTTTGTTCCGTGACTGAGGTCAGACGACGCTCATCTGCTGAAGTCACACCTAAGATGCTATCACGACCAAGAGGGAAAAGCAAAGTACACCGGGGGTTCGTTTACTTCTTGTGCAAGCTACTGACCGAGAGGAGGGCGTCGAAGGCCGCGCCCCAGGACTCACCTGCTGCGCCGGCGGCTCTGCGGGCAGGCTGTGCGAGGACCTGCTGCGGGGCGGCGGCTGGGGCGGGGTCTCCAGGCTGGGCTGGGGGGCAGCCTGAGGCAGTGGGGCTGCTGTAGGGACCAGAGGCTCCTGCATCTTCTGACCAGAGGCGGGCAGGGCGGCCAGAGGCTTCAGTGGTTCAGGGAGAAGGACTGGACCTAAAAAGTCATCTTCTGGTGTTTCCTGAGAAACCATTCTTACCCCCTTTCGCACACTGGCAGAGGCTCTGGGTCTTTCAACTAGATTTCTAGGGTTGTGCCTACCTCTTGGGACTTCCGAGGCTCTGCTCTGGCTCTCGGGAGCCGGCCTCCCCCCAGATGCCCGGGCTTGGCTCTGCGGGGCACTGATCACTCCGACGCGGGGTGGGATCACCTGAAGGGGAAGGAAGCACAGCGTCTCAGACACCTGCGCACTGCACAGGTAAGGGACTGGGCGAAAACATTCGCTCCTGCATCTCACTTCATCTCCTCTCTGCTATTCGCCATCTCTGTTTGCTAACTGCTCTCTATTTAGAGCCATACCTAAGTTTTAAAATCTTTCTTTTTGTTTTTCAATGTTTACTATGTGCCACTGTGTTAAACACGGTAGAGACATGCCACCTTCAAAATTCCCCTCAGAGGTAGGTGTCATTTTGTCATCTCATTTTAAAGCAAGGGCAGACATGGGTACAACTTCTCAATGCCACAAAGCTAGAGAACAAAGCCAGGATCCCTCGTAGGTGTGAGAACTGCAGGGCCGCGTCCCTCACCACGGCCAAACCGCTGAGGTCGCGGGCAATGCAGCAACGCGGACACTGAGCAATGGAGGCTCGTGAAAAGCCACGCTGAGGTTTCACTTTTAGCACAGAAGCAGAAACTCTCCAGTGACCACCTCAGTCCGGTAAACGTAATCCTTACCTGAGGGCACTTTCCATGGGGGGGGAGAAACATCAATCGGTTGCCTTCCCTATGTGCCCTGACCAGGGACTGAACCACAACCCAGGTATGTGCCCTGACTGGGAATCAAACCGGGAACCTTTTAGTGCATAGGACAATGCTCAACCAACTGAGCCATTCCAGCCAGGCGAATCTAATCATTAAAATACATCAAAAGAGGAATGCTCAAGTAGATAAAAATACCCAAGGACTTACCATCATACTTTGCTAAGACTGCCTGAACATCAGCGTATGCTTGTAGTTCCAGAAGGGCTTCTAAAAGGTTTTCATGGATGTTGAACATGCTTAGCAAAGGGAACTCCTTCATTAACTAGGAAAGAAGAAACCAAGGAATAATTAATATATACCTCTCATTTTTAAAAGTATAACTAATAATGAATTGTAATATATTTATGTAATATAAACATATAATGTAATCTTTAGAAGTATAGTTAATACTGAATTATAAGCATTCATACCAATTATTATTTGTAAAGCATTAAATGCTTAAATTTTTTCCTGCTATTTTGGAAAAATGGCAACTTTCAATTTGTGAGAACCTAAGGTAGAAGAAAATCCAACAGACAGGGTGTTTCATAAAAACTGAGAAAGGTGCTTAGAGGTAGTGCTCAGTAATGCTGAAGTACCATAGTGTCCCAATAAAGTGAAGAGGTGAAAACTCTCTCTTAGGTGTTAACATTTAAACATCATTAAGAACAGTTTGGATGGAAGTCAGAGAACAGAAGGGGAAGTAAGCAGACACTACTCTTTCGAGCTGCCTGGTGACAAAGGAGAAAAAATAGGAAAATGACAAAGGTGACATGGATTGAGAAAATATGTAATTAGTGACAGGGAGTGGTAGTAAAGGGAGTGGATCTTCAGCAGTCCTGCCTAGTGTTGTCAATAAAACAGGAGTCAAGATCATTTTCTGAGACTGAGAGAATGGGTGGCAGGGAGAAAGTTGGGCAAGATGGGCATGAAAGTACGAAATAGCCACAAAGGGTAGAAATGCTTAGGGAAATGCTCAAGGATTCCTAAGGCCATCTTGAGGGTCTAAGAAATTGGAGACAATGAATTTACAAAAGCTACAACTGGCATAATTGTCAAGTTTTAGCTGACAGCTGCCCAGGTCCAATAGCAAAGATGTCAAATGAGTTAGGTTGAGCCTGAGCACACTGAATTAGATTCAATGAAAAGTCAAGGAGCAAGAGAGTTGACAAGAATAGTAAAGGAATGATTAAAGGAATGGCCTAAAGGTTCTAGGCAAGATGGCAGAAAGCAAGGTCCAATGAGAGTTAAAAAATAGTATATTGAACTTCACTGGAAAGCAAAGAGAAATAAGAAAGGACCAAGATTTCAGAGTAAAATTTTTATCTTAAAGAAAGGTAAATCTCATCTTAAGGGAAAGATAACCAGGTTCTTTATAAAGAAAAATATATATATACATATATATATGTAATATAAATGTATATACCTTCTATTTTATCTCCTACATGAATAACTATTTTATTTAACACAGTGACCTGTAAAAAAGTGATAACTTTTTGACATCAACATTGTTAAAAGCAATTTTGCTAAACAGGCTAGTTCAGCCTTAAGCAGGAAACCAGTGGATACATTTACTTAAGTATGTACTTCTTACATTAGAAACATTTGCTATATTGTTTTGTTTTTTCAAGGCCAAGAATAATTTAGCATATCTCTAAAAATAATTTTCTGCAGCCCCAAAGAGCATTACATTAGCAATGAAAAACACCTATCAAAATGATTATGTATTCAATAAGACTGTCTGAAGCCCCTAGAGACTGCGTGCTGTGTTTTTTATTGCTAGTAAAGGAAATGAATAAGACTACTACACATTGTTGATGTTCTCTAACCAATAAAAGTATTGCTTGTTCTGGGTTAACTTTGTCCAGGGTCTTAATACCACCATCTTTGTGGGGATGGCTCCCCCATCCTCACATCCTGCTCTGACTTCTCTCCTAAGTGATTATACTAGATCAATTTATAAACTATCTCCTTACAGTTTTACCTGATACGTTAATACTGTACTCATAAATTCCTCCTCCCTCAACCAACCCTTCAAACCTGTTCTTCCCCCTTGGTATTTCCTACCTTGGAGAAAGAACCACTAACTCCTATTACTCTCTTCACCCTACCCACTACAGTCACCTTAGAGGTCCCTACATCTCTAAATTAATATGTAAAAATTGCCATCAGGTTCACAGAAAGCTGTTATGCAAACAAACAATAAACAAGCAAACATGGTATTAAGAATCATTATCATCTCTTTTTCTCTGACCTTGCTGCTAATACCTTAGGTTACGCCCTCACACTTGGCCTAAATTGCTCTTTGTCTCTGGATCACCTCTTTCCAATCCACCCTTCACACTGTTGTCATAACGGCTTTTCGAATATTGGAGTCTATCATGCCCCTGATTAAAAGGCAACCACAGACATGGCTGGACCTACCCAAGGAAATAGGCATATGTGAATACAAGTTTACAAACAAGGCTGCTTATCACATCATTTATAATAGTGAAAAATGCAAGCAACTTAAAATTTACCCCATTATGAGGCATTTAAATATATCATATAGTCATCTTTTTGGCTATTATATGTAGTCCTTAGCAGTTAAATTCTCAAATAATTTTTAATGGCATGGCCTGGGAAATGCTGACATACAAAGTTACATTAGAAAAAGGAGAATGCAAACTATATTTTGCAATAAGATCATGCTTTTCTTCTATATCTAGCATAGAAACACAGTTGGTAAGAAATGAACCAAATGTTTTAACACTGCTTATTTCTGGTTAGTGAGATTAAAGGTGAGTTTTATTTCTCTCTTCATATTTTCCATATGTTCTAATATTTTTAAAGGAGTATATATACATTCTATAAATTGGGAGGAAAGACTATACATAAGGATACTGGCTTCTCAGCAAATTGAGGATATAAAATGCTTATTAGCATGGCAAAACACAGCCCATTATGACAAATCCTTGTCCACTGAGCCAGCCTCAGTGGACACACCACAATCCCACCACAGAACAGCTTTCAGTTCCTTAAATAGGCCACATTTACCCGTGTTTCTATCTACACTCCCTCCTCCTCTGGGTGCTCTCCCTTCTGCCTCCTTGATCTATCTGGCCAGCTTCTCAACATCCAGGAACCCTTACCTGCCCTTTGACTCCTGGCCCCTTGCCTCTATCTGCCAGGTTAAGAATTCCTGCCCCAAACTCCCAGAGTCCTTGTCCATCCTCCCATGAGCCTGGGAAGAGTAAGAGAACAGGAACTCTTTCTTATCAACAGATTCTTGGTCACTAAATGACTCATCATAAGTGCTCAATACATATTTCACAAATAGAATGCTTTTCAAAGTTCTCTTCCTTTAGGATACATATTATATGTGTGCTGCCACAGGCCTACTTCAGGCCTTTGGGTTATATATCCCTGAACTTGTTCTTCTACCCTTTAAAATCTTCCCAATGACCTTCCACTATATCTACACCTTGGAAAAGGTCCAGGTAGAACCCATAAGCTTTGACTTAATGTAAGGAAGAATTTTCTTACACTTAGAGCTGTCTGAAAATGGACTAGATGGTCTAGAGAATTCTCCATCACTGGAACTATTCATACAGAGAAAGGCCAGTCACTGAACAGGGATGCTTTAAAAAAGCCCCAGGATGCTTCCAGTTCTGTAATTCCAGGGGAAAATTTCCCCAGCTCCTCAGCATAATTCTCAGGCCCTCCCTCAGCTCAGTACCAGATCCTTCTTGCCTCTCCTTCTTCTACTGTATTAAAACTCTAGCCTTGTCAGACTAGGCTGTTAACCACCATTCCCAGAATTCTTTCTCCAGTTACTATCCACTGTGGTTTTTACCCAATTGTTCTCACCACCTGGAATACCTTTTCCCTTCATTTACAAGGCAGCCTGTCAAAATCACCCCACTCTCCTAAGCCCAGATCAAATGCCACCTCCTAAAGTCACAGCATCCTAGAAAGTGACAGCCAGCAGAGCCCATGGAGATAATCCAAACACCCTCCTCAGTTTACAGACTGAGCCCCTCCCAGCACTGCCCCACCCAAAACAAAGAAGGCTGAAAATTAAAGTGATTCAACCAAAGTTAGTTACAGGAATATGATTCAAACCCAGTCATCAGTATTGATTCCAAATTTCAACACATAGGAACCCAATCTCTGGCCTGCCAAGTCCAGGAGAACTAAACCATTTTGCTTATGCTTCTCTGCTACACTTACAGATCTGCTTTGTATAGTGTTTACAAGACAAATATGAAGACAGCTGAGGAAAGAGCCCTATATTTGGAATTATTCCTGCCAGTTACTACCTGTGCGACTTTGGACAAATTACTTAACTTCTCTGAGCCTTGCTTTCTTCATCTCTTGGTTCTCAGCTCATATAGCATCTTTTCAGACTCTTTCTACCACCCTAACTAATGTCGTCACCCCACTCACATCACCATTTTCCTTTGTTTCTATCACATTCAAATCATCTTGTCTATGCTACTTAATAGTAGATAATGTAACAAGCAAAATAAAAAAAAGAATTAAACAGAGTGATAGTAGGTAATACTATTATTACAGGGGTCAGCAAATTGTTTTCCATAAAAAGCCAGAAAGTAAATATTTTGGGCTTTGCAAGTCATACAGTCTCTTTTGTTAACTACTCAGATCTGGCACTGCAGTGTGAAAGCAGCCATGAACAGTAGATAAATAAGTGAGGCTATGTTCCAATAAAATTTTACTTATAAAAACAAGCAAGAACCTAGATTTGGCCAACAGACCTTGGTATGCCTTGGTTAACAGGAATAAATTTTTTTTAAAAAAGGGAGTTTATAAAAAGAGTTTCAGAGTGATATTATATTTGAAAAACATAGCATCTCTTATACACATTTGGTTTGGCAGACCATGATAAAACTGAAAAAGACCTACCCTCTAACCCAACACTTTTTCTCCAGTTCTATTCCTAGAGACCACTAAAACAGGTTTCTGAAGAGTCTCAGACTGGGATAGCCACAAGATGGGGAGCACTGTCAAAAACAGTGGAATGCATAGGTCAAGGAGGTATACTCATATGACAAAATGCAACTGAGCAGGCAAAAGGACTCAGTTAAGCTCTGTATATCTTTGTATATCAAATGTCAAGTAGTTTTAAGTGAAAAAATACTCTGACGAAATAGATTGTAGAATATGATACAACTGAAAGTTTAAAATACACACAAAACAATTCTACATATTGTTTTGTTTGTTTGTTTTCAAATATATCTTTATTGATTTCAGAGAGAGGACAGGAGAGGGAGAGAGAGAGAC